AGATCCTCATAGTTGCTCTCAAATTACTTACTACACTTCAATATGCAAGTTTTCAGTCAATGAATAAATCACATGCACGTGAAATGAATTACAAAATGCTTTCTTTTAAGTTAGTTTCATCCATCTGAGCCATTACAGCCTCTGAAGGTTTCTTACCTCCCATCATGAGTAGGCATTCTCTACATGATTCACATGGAAGAAGAAATGTATCACAGAGTAAGACAATGTTACATGTTGGACAGTTTTATTTCACTCTGAAGATAACTGAGTAATTATTTTACTTTCCTTGCTGGTTCCGTGCTGGAATAGGGCTGGTTCCACATGAGTGCAGTTAGTACCAACAATCAGGCCGTCTGAAAACCCTGACAGAATGTACAAGTTCTATCTGTTATTTCTCATCATGGAAGTTACACATTTTAAGTTTATTGGTGTCTCCAGTGGTAATATCCATGGTATACTTGATTCCAGCTGGGAATAAGAGCCATCTAAAACCAGCAACTTCCTGCTCAGTCCAACAAGAACCATTGAATATCCAGGCTGGTTCCAACTGGAATTTTTGACTGGGATATTATGCACAGTGCAAGTCTGGTGGAAATAGCATCAGGAGGAGGGGAAATACGGGAAAGGGAAAAATGAATTAATAAGAGATTGTTTAATGGGGTCAACAGCAACAGCATGAAGGGATTGTCCTCCATGCCGCTCTTAGTGCAAGCCCCTGTCCATTTATAATATCCAACTTCTTTTAAATAATTGCTCATAGCCTTGTCTCAGTACAATGAAATTTCAAAGGCCTGCTGAAAAGATATCAACCAATGTGTGGAGTAAATTTAATCAAAATCGTTCCAGTAAGAAATTTATTGATTAAAAATTCAGGGGTCTTTTTTTGCTCTACCCTATACTTTGGTTCATTTTGTGCAGAAGCAGGACAAAATTCTTTTTGAGTTGCTTGTAGTATTGGTGAATGTGTTAATTCTTCAAAGCTGTCCATATAATAACCTCTGATAGAGGACCGCCTTCTGCTTTCTTTTGCCAGAAAACACATTCCACTACCTCTGTTAGTTCATTGAAAGTTATTGTGAGTTGTGTATGAAATTCCCAGGACAGACTGGGAGAAATTTCCCAATTGAACAGTCAACCAGAGTCAAACCCCCAGACTGTCAAATGTTGAATCCCAGGCAAGTGCTGGCCAAGACAGCATTATGCTGCTGGTATCATAGAAGACAATGACTAATGTGTGAAAGAATTCTCTAAGCACTGCCAGGAGAAATGGAAGCAAAGGCTCAGTCCTAACTCCTCTCAGTTCTAAGAATTACTGTCTACATGTGCCCCATCTATGAGGTCGGAAAATTGGAGCTTACAGATCTGCTGCAATAAGCTCTTTGCAGCATTTCTCCTTTGATATTTTTTTACTATCAGGATTTACCCTTACACATCTGGCATTGAAGACATGCATCAGATTAAGTTCTGTTCTTTCTAATACATTCCAAGAATGTACCATGGCATTCATTAAGTCACTTGGACTGTTGGAGGATCAAGACCTCTTCCCAATTAAAAGACTTTCTATGGGAAAAATTAACTCATTCCTTCCTCTCTTTCATAATTCTCACATTACTTGCATTTAAAAAACATAGTTGCACACAGTAGTATTTATATGCCTTCAAAGCTTGGATTTCAGACTTAAAATTGATTTTGACATTTTACAGTTCAAAGCAGACAAAATATATCATCAATAAGTCACATCTAATTTAATTTCAGGCATTGGAAGTGATTACAGTTCCCTTGAAGGCCTACTACAGACCAATCCAGTTAGTAATTACCTTTTCTCAAGAAGACTTTCAAAAGAAACATTTTTTAAAGGTAATACTCAGAAGTGAACTCACACAACCAAAGAGAATGTTGAGGAAAGCTGCCTTTTTCTTCCTTCGATTTCTCCCATGAATGTCATTCCTGCCTGTCTGTCATGATATTCTGGGATTCCTAAGAGTCAGGGCTTGGACACAAAAGATGAGGCCTCAAAGACATGGTTTTATTTGCAAAATGTATCACATAAAGCCATTTTCATATATTTGTGATCGTTTCATTGATGACAGTCCAAGATTAGTTTGAGATCCATTCCCACCATTATGACTTCAAGCACTTGGAAAAGTAAAAGACACAAAACTGTAACAATAACGGCATCAAAATTTATCATCATCTTCCTCCATGTCATCATCATCATCATTTGGTGACAGTGCATTGCTTGGCTCAAGGTCCAGAATCTCACGATTGATCACATCTGCATCATCCATGGACTCTGCAAAAGACAGATGATGTCAACATTTTTTTTACTCAGATGTTAGTCAATCATGAGCCACAGGACTGACCAGCATTGAATTTTGGAGCATGTGATGTTTTTGATGCTGATTCTGGTTTGGGTGATTGGAAGGCACTGCTATAAGTGGAATGAGCAATAGTGGAACTAGTGGTTGCTGTTTCTGAACTTTCCTTCTCTTGGAGATAATGTAGGATTTGAAGTTCTTCAACCTTGAGCTGGTTGAGAAGCTCCTTCATGGATGTGATGCGGGCAGTGATGGACTTCTCCAGGGTCTTCAAACGTGATATCTCTTCCTCCTTTTTGAACTTCCATGTAGCCATGATTTAGTCTTTTGATGACAAACGTGCCTGCATTGATCCTTCTCTCCACAGTTCACATGATCATAGCATGAACTTAAAAGAAGCAAATGTTTTTGTTCTTACAGAGCTTGTCATAAATTTCCAAATTAACTTAAATTCCTGAGAAAAAAAATCTCTAGAACTAACAATAAAAAAGCCAGTGAAAAGTAAGCTATTATAGTGGCTGATCAGAATAAATTGCTTGAAAATGCATATGCACTTTTTTCTGCTTTCTAGCTGTATGTTAAAAAAAAAAGAACATTGGGTTCTTTTCAAATTGTGTATTTCCAAATTTTCCCCCCAAAATACATTGCTCTTCTCCTTAAATAGGTGGATATTCCTGGCCCCCTCACACCTGGCCATTGGAGAGCATCAAATGGCTTAGTGCTTAGGTAGACATATGCCATTCAGCCAACCTTCCCTACTGAAGTCATTTGTCTGTCTAGTTTTTCCTGATGCTTTTGGTATGAATGAAAACTTCATAGCTCACATTGCACAACACCCTCCAACCTCACGTTCTCACACAATACTGTCTCTGGAGGCTTGGACAGGTTCTCCAAGTGTTTCCATTATTACCTTTCTACTAAGGCATTTTATTCCTCACCAGAGCCACAATTACCTTGTGGAGTTCCCTTTTCTTTCTGCTGACCAGCCATGTTGGGAGAAGCTTGTCCAAAACTTGACCCATTAAACATGCTGGCAAACACCTGGATTTTGGCTTGAGATCCCAAAAACACATTGCTGTGTTTCAAGTGGGCTCAACTGTGGTAACATTCCAAGTCAAGCCATCACTGGCTTGACTTGAAATGTTACCACAGTTGAGTTGGCATGACTTGGATTAATGTCCTACACGTGTTCCCATTGATATGGTACTATGAGATACATGGACAGCTATGGCTGTCTTGTCCACCAATGTGTCAACCTATCCAGTCTTTCCCCATTCAGAAAACAAGAGATCCCAAATTGAGTAACTTCTAGCTTCTGCTGTTCAATTGTACATGTCAATAGGTCAGTCCATGATTCTTCTACAGAAGGAACCATCATTCAGTGAATGGTAAACCTGATAGCTCTATCTATATCAGATGCATGCATATGCAAACAAATGGAGAGATCTTAATAATGAGGCATTTCTTCTAAAAAAAGAAATGGTGGTGCAACACAGATGAAAATATGAAATAAAACAATCAGCAATGTGAAACAATTTGACCTAAACTGGCTTTCCTACAAGATCACATTAGTCTCGTAAAGCAGTACTGGGATGTCAAGAACCTTGATATTTCCAATCAAAGGAATTTTCATTGGAATGAACTAAGAAATTTCCCTAGCTCCATTTGAGGCACAGAGTCTTAAGCCAGTCCTTCCATCTGCAGCTAATAAAATATAAGGCAGCAACAACAAATTTTAACAAAAATATGGAAACATAGCTGCAACTCACTAAAAGAAATGTCCCATTCTCAAAAGACAACTACAACAGTGAAATTGGACAAACTTTTCTTCATTCATACCAGAGGCAAGCACCATAGAAAACTATCTTTTCTCCAAAATAACAACTAACCTATGAATAATTATTCACCTCTCCTTTTTTATTGTTGCAGACAATGAAAATGGAAGTGTCTGCCAATGATCTCAAGGAACAAATCAAAGATATACTTATAAATATAACCTTATGAATTTATTCTAACCAATCTCAAACAGGTCATTTTTAATATTTCTCTTGTTGAACTGGCAAATAGCTTGAATTAATGTTTTAGATGATTGATAATTAGTATTTTTTAATATTCTACGAATACTTCAGAAGAAATCTCCCAGTAAAAACCATAAATGCCTGTAGCATCAGCATCCTAGAAATGTTTCTAGTCTCCGTCCTGCTACTAAGGAGGATTCTTGGGGAGGAAAGAGGACTGATAAGTGACCCTCCTCATGTCATAGATCCCATGAGCTCCCTGGTTTTTTCTCTCTGTAGAATGATTCAATGCCAACACATATATTGCAAATTTTCTCTATTTCAAGTCAAGGTATGAAGGGAAACTTCCCATCAAAAACCTATTAAGTAGATACAGAATTCATTTTGATTAATTTGCAGCAAAAAAAAGCATGACAAGCAAGATATATGAGTACTAATAGTTTATTTGTGTTACAAACAATAAATGATTCCAATAAAGATGGATAAATTTTTCCCACCAATCAGAAGTAACTAAGATTATTATCATGAAGATACTGCATCACAGACTGGAAAGAAATACAGGGTACATGGATTACACTGTATGTCTGAGGAAACTCAATGCATGGTAGATACCAAGAGCCAGAGTGTGACAACAAAATCAAAGCTGCATTTGAAAGCTCATGTATCATAAAACCTCATTCACAGTGAAAGGCGTGACTGAGTAAAGAAAACACCGGTTACAGACTCGCACAGGCTTCTGATGTCCATAGTGTGGTAGGGGAACAGCATTGGAGCAACACTTTGAGCAAAACACCTTCCCACAGTTCCGGCAATGGTGTCGCCGACGAATCACAGTGAAGGTGGCCTCACATCCCATGCAAAAAGGTGCGAGCTCATCAGGTACCCACTCTGGTGGCTGTTTGCTCCTCAATGGAGCCCTGTTTGCTCCCCCAGGGGCTGTGAGAGGTTGAATCATCTGGACATCAGTTGGTTCTGATTCCTGGGCTGCCACATAATGGATCATATTGTTTCTCAAAGTAGGCATGTTCATCAAGGCAGGAGGAGAGTGAGGATAAGCAGTGTTGCTATCTACTATCACAGAATTATGGTCATCTCTTGTTACAGGAATGGGAACATTACCCGAGGGGACCACATCGATTCGGTTTGACCTTATGGATGGGTATGTTTGCTGAGTAGAACTTGAAACTTCAGGAAACACCTGGGCTGACTCATATGTGAAAGAATTGGATTCACGGGGAGATGCTGAATTGGAACTGGATTCAAAACTTGAACCAGGGCCTATCTGCAAATCCATACCCATATCCTGAGCTTCTTCAGCACTATCAATGCTCTGCTCATCTTCATTGCCACCATCCACCTGATCAAGAGAGGCAGAAGATTCTTCCTCAGAGGGAGTGGCATTGATCACAAACACTGCCTTCAAGATGTTTCTTAGGTCTCCAGCAAAGTTTGTCTGCAATTGGTCCCCAACACCTGAGATGCACACAAAAAGCCTATGAATCAGGTCCTCACTATCCTTAAACTTGGCACGGATCTCACGCTGGTTGACAAGTTCGGCTGCCCGCGCCGGGAGGGGGATGCCTCTACCCTTCTCATCCATTCCCTCAGATGCAGATGAGGAGCTGTCACTCAAAGGCACTTCCAGAGAGCAATGGTAGTTGCAAGGTGAGGCCACTGCAGAACATTCATCACATGAACTTTCTGGTGATGTTGGCTCACTCACAGTGATCTGTGGGGCTGAAGCACATGGGATAACAGGGACTCTGGAATGGTGGCTCTGATGCTCATGGCAAGGTGAAACATGCATCACATCTTGTAGGGAAGTACAAATGCTTGTCATGGTGTCTGTGCTATGTGACAGAGAAGAGGAGAATGATTCATCAGAGGTGGAGCGTGTGAGCCCTCCAGTTATCTGAGCATCTGTCATGGCATCTTGGTACATGTCATGTTTCCTTTCTAGTGGATAGTATTCACCTTCCTCAACATTAACACTAATGCTTCCAGGATCACTGGTGGAGCACAATGCCTTCTCCAAAGCACACAATTCATCTTTATTCAGAGTCCATAAAACCTCCCTGATTTTCCGTAAGAGATTGCGAAATGGGCGAAACAACTCAGACATTCGAGATGGATGGCCATCAACATTCAGGGGTCCATTGGGGAAGATTAGAAGGCCCCCAACAATTGCAAGACGTGGGATGGTGAACATGAGAGCTGGATCACAATCATCAACTCCTTCCTGTAAAACCAAGCCAAGTCGCACTGCTCGCTGTAGTGTCTCTGAGAATAGGACAGTGACATTCAGTTGGATGTCATACTCCTCTATTGTCTTCACAGGCACCATGGTGCTCACATAAGTGAATTCAAACTCTGCAAGGAGGCGATCAAAAATTTTGAAGTTTTCCCTTATCATCTCAGTGTAGTCTGGACATGATGACATGCACTGCTCCCGGAGCATTGATCGCACTCGATCCAGGGTCTTGATGACAGCTTTAGCAAGTGGACGCATCTCAGCAGATTCCAATTCTCGATTCAAGATGTTGGATCCAGCAGCAAGACACTCAGCACCAAACCACAATTGCCCAGCCAAGTTTTCCTGAAGGACATCATCAGGATATTTTACTCTAAAGTCACGATTAGTCCGTTCGGCACCAACAGTTTCATCCATCATTTCATTGATGATGTTGAGCACTCGGTCCTGGGATTGGCGGAGCTGAGCCACCAGCATGGCACATCTCTCAGGATCCTTGCGACCATCAAAGCTGTCCAGTTCTGCTGTGACAGCTGCTAAGTCTTCATCAGCATAGTAAAACTGGGCCAGCAAGGAAGAATCTCCCTTTTTTGGCTTGTATAGCCACTTTTTTATGGATTGCATGATGTTGCCATCAAAGAGCTACACCTCCCATAAATGTATGCCAAGGCATCACAAGCCTTCTAATATTTGAAAAATCTGAAATGGGTCAGACATGAAGGGTGAGTTTGGAGGTCCTCTCTCTCATAAGACATAGTCCTAATAGGGCTCCTTAGACCTCTGGTAAAAACCTGTCATGGGCCTGGTGTACAAGGTCACAAAGTCAAAGCCTCAGAGTTCAGATGCAAAGTTTTCCAGGCATATACATAAACAAACAAGGCACAAGACAAACTTGGATGCGAAATTCATCCATGAAACCAATTATGTTAACTTTTATTGCCAAAATTGGTAAAATACTTGGCCATTGACATTACCTTATTTCCCATTATCCTAGTCTATGCAGAGTAATTTCTTTATTGGTCTTCAAACAAAAAAAAACAGAAGATATCATTGTGGACTGCCAAACACAGCTATACCTATGGAACATAGGAGTAGTTATTACACTAAAAAAAAAAGAATTTGTAACTTTATACATGCTTAGCTAACACCAGCACAACTTAAACTATCATCCATGGCTTTGATTCCTCTCACACTATTCAGAAGCAAAAGTATTTACCTGGTTCAGGTTCTTGTACATACTGGGGAAAACAAGTAAAAGATTTGTGTCATGAATCAATGTTAATGTTTAAATAGGGCATGTCAAGAAGTACTTTAGTTCATAGTCAGGCTAGGAAACAAGATCATCAATGTGGACAAAAACAGCTCGACAACACTGCACCTATTAACATTGTGTCATGAAAATTATGTCACAATTTGGATAGCATTTAAATGTGCCTACCTCTTCTTACCATTTTTGCCTAATTGCAAAATCCTCTTGCTATCATTTTTGCTTTGGGTGTATCATGGAAACGCATTACAAAGGATTTTCCTGTAAGACCTGGAAGGCATGAAAAAACAATTAAGCACTGACATGGGAAGGAGACATGATCATCAGAAGATATCCTTTTAAGGTGAGGAGAGAAGCAGAAGCAGTACAGTTTTCAGATAAGGGAAGGAGTTTCATAGGCATGCCTGTGGTAACTTTCAATGGTTGAAAGAGGAGGAAATTGTGACTCTTTTGACTCCTAATAGTTTTCAAACCAAGGTTTCAGCTCATAGCAAAAAGAAGTGATGCTGTTTAACCCAGTCACTTTACTGTAGTAGATAGGTCAGCAGGGGCATTGTAGATGACAAGAGAGGGAAGCATGAGAGATGATGTTAGAGAGCAAGTGCTTGAGTTTGTATTAGTTAATTTTGACATGTTTGTTAGATCTAAGATTGTTTAGGTTAAGAAGCCCCTCTCTGACCTTGTTAACAAATTCCATATTGGTTGAGCCCTACTGCACCTGATAGGTAAAGACTGGGAGCCATCTCTGGGTTTATTTATATAGACAGGTTCTGTGATAGACTTGTTTAACCTGTGATTGGTGATGTAAAGATTCCTCTGAGCTTATATAGATGAATTCTGCCTTGAATCCTGCTTGAACTACGAATATTCACAATAGGGAGCCATGCCTTTTCTTATATGAAGATACAATTTGTCATGAACAACACTGGCACAATCAACTCCACTTATGGATTACCATTGTGCAGTACTACTTTCCTAAACTATAAATTGCATTATTGTATACATCATATTCAAGGATGCTTATTGGAATAACCTGCTCAAAGAAATAAGCTTCTCTAAAAGCTAAAACATACGTTTTGGAGAGCTTTGTGGAACAACAAGCCTGCTTTCCTTTTTCCAAATTATAGGAAAGTTCCCACTAGCTCATGCTTGCTTCATGGAAACAAGAGCAACTGGAACCTATTTTTTTATATTAATTTCCAGTGAGGATTTTTTTTCCAATAAACCACCTTAATGTAGAGTGAAGTAGTAAGTAGGCCTACAGCACAACAGTTTCCGTTATTGGAGTATTCAGGATAACAGAATAGAGTTCCCTGATCTCTGGAGTTGATGGTGCATGACTGCTTAATGTTTGAGCCCTCCTGACATCTTATTGAAAATCAACCCTGCATAACTTGGAACATAAAATCGATTCATGCAATGAAGAACAGAGCACTCAGAAGACTTCCATGTTGAAATGAAATTGCTTTCATTTCCCCCCATTCTACCGTTCGAGAAAGGCGATGATCACGAAGTACCTCAATCCCCCAGAAAACCCCAGATTTTGTGACTCAAGAGAGTGGTCCAATGTTACGCTTCATATCTTGCAGGGCTAATTTTCATGAATTTACTAAGTATGGTCGAGTGTCATCAATTTGAGGTTTTCTGTCAGTCATCAAGCACTTTTCTGCCACCCATTCTTGTGAATTTGACACTTATTCGAGTCTGACCGATTTCATGCGATCAAGATATAACTTTATAAAGCTTGGGACAAGCTCTGCGTTTCGGAAGTAAATAAATATCGAACTAAATTTTAAAACCCTGAAACGTCAAGGAAGATTCACGAAACAATGGAAGTCCTTATCTCATGAGACACGACCTGAGTCTGCCACTGGGGCCACCATGATTCAAGAGACCAATGCAGGGCTGTCATAAGACCTTGATACATTTTCTGTTAACTCTCAATTTACCGTTTTTTTTTCTGACCAACTTCTGGCGTAGTTGCATTAATAAATATTTATTAGACTTCTATTTTCATTATTCTTGATCGTATACATGAAGTATACCTTTATCTGCTGAGTCGATGTCCCAAGTCTCACTTCGAGAGGCTTCATCTGCATCTCTTATCATCTTGTGAACTTTTCGACCTGCACACCGAGTGTTTTCAAGAACACATCTCCTGTGACACTTTTTCCTCGTACTCAGGTTATAAGTAAAATTTGAGTGGAACCAAAAATAATTTTTTCGCTTATTCCCAATATTTTGCCACTTAAGGATTAAGAGAAGGGGCCGTGACGAACATTTTTCTAAGATGGACATTGGCAAAGCAGCTTCCAATGTTATTGGCGCCATTTCAATCCGACCGTCATTCCCAGTCTGTGCCTCTTTAGCGAGACACCTTTCCTGAAAAGAAAGAGGCAAATTATAATTCTACTAGCGGCTTGCAGCCGCTACGCTGGCCGTCCAATGGGCGGAAATTTGAAAATGTTTACATAAAGATATGAAGCAGTTCGGTTCAATCCAAACAGGTTTTTATGGGCTAGAATGGCATAGTCTAGTAGACCTAGCGTGTTAGGTCGCTGATGAGTGACCAGTGGCGTAGATACCGAATGTGCAGGCGGTGCGACTGCACCGGGGCCCACGGGCCGGAGGGACCCAGACGCCAAACTACGAAGAGGGAGGGGGGTGTTAGTTCGGAGCTCCTTGGCATCGGGACGAGGTGAGAGCCAGCAGCCGAAAAGGAAGGTCAAAAGGAATCAAAGGAGTTCAATGCAACACTGCACTGAGACATCTCGCAACTGGGACGCCGCTTCGTGTGGTTAAATGAAGTGGTGGCCATTTCCAATACCATACACCAAGGGGGGTGAGGGCAAAGGGGGCTGTTGCCTCTGGCCCCACTTTTCCAGGGGGCCCTCGAAGGAAATCAAACACCTTAAGTATTTGCGTAAAGGGGCAGGAGGGTGGGGAATGGACCAAGAATCCACTTGCCCCTCGCCTCACAACTTCTTGATCCGGCCCTGTATTCACTCTTTCACTGGTGGCGGATCCAAGAGAGAGAGAGGGGGGGGGGGGAACTGCCCTTCCTCTGGCCAAGTTCGCAGCCTGTTTTATTATTATTTAGAAAGTACATAAATTAATGTTTATTAGCTCCTGTGAAATAGATATTCAGGGTTTTACCACAGACGAAAAATTAATAAGGCGATAGGACGGAGGGTGGTTGTAGATGAGGGAGGGAAAGGCTGGGAACTAGGAAACAGGTCCTGTTTCCCTATGAAAAATCTCTGTATCCGCCACTGCCTTCCACACTGACTTCAGCTACCGACGACGATTTATATACTGCCGGAGAAAATCTAGCAAAAAAAATGGCTCCCACATAATTCAATAGTAAGAAATTGGAATGGGCCCCGTTTCATTCCTTGCACCAGGGCCCATGCCAACCACGCTACGCCACTGTGACAACCATTCACCACCGCTTTCGGCCTCTATCAATTTTTATGGCCTGGCCTATGGCCTAGAATGGCATAGCATCGTAGGCCTCGCGCGTTAGGTGTGACAGTCACCAAATTTTCTATCTCTGTCCAAGTAAGTATTAGATCCTATCTGTGTACGAGGTATTTGTGTCCCACACTTGTGATATCCGTCGATAACTAAGAATATGTTGGCCTTCTATGAAACGTGTGTGCTAAGTTCATTTTTGACCAAATTCATACCAAATAATATTTATCACGAATTTTGACCTTGAAGTTTGTTCACAACCGGAAAGCCATTATAAACCGTCAGTCCTCTTGAATTACGACCTTAGGAACCAGGCACATAACAAAATCTCTATTGGGATGACATATCACCTGTCAGAGCTTCCAACTCCCTTTTAGCCTTCGTTGCTTGCGGTTCTATTGCCAGCATACGAAGAGAAAGGCAACATATCACAGCGTAGACAGGATTGCCAGCTGAATTATGACATCTGGCATAAGTCGTAACAAGTCACTCTCTTTCCACGTGCCAGCGAGGCACGTCATTTCAGGTGGCAATTGGCCTTCCTCCTTCGTGATTCTAATACGTTGCACTCTACATTGTCTCCTTGTAATGCAAGGCATGAATTTGGGGGGGGGGGAGGGGGGGCGTGCTCAGAACAGGAGTAGCAAAGCTGGCCCATGTTAAGAGGCGTTCAGCACCACCACCCACTCTAACCCCCCCCCCCTTCCCTCCTTACACGGCGAAAAATACACTTGTGAACGAAATTAAGGTAACACCGTTTTTCGTCAATATTTTTATTACAATAGTAAATTAGAAGGTGAAAATACGTTACTATGCGTATTTTTACATGCTGATTCCGAATATCCAACCGAAATTGATCTACGTGCGTTGCGACATGCAAATT